AGAACTTCTTTGTAATTATAAATAGGACTTGTGTTTTTCCAGCTCTGTGGGGATCATTTTCACATGGTTAGTCATATCTTCCAGATTTTTTTCGTTTAAAGAAACAACTATGTCAGTTTTCTTTGTCTGTAGACTCACATATTAATAAAAAGGATCCCCTTTGCTCCCTCTGAGAGTTCAGACCCCTCAGCAGAGAACTGCTGAATTCCTGCATGCCTGAAACATGCTACTCAGGTTCATGCTGGGAATGTGGTCTGCAAATGGAAGGAATACTCCTTCCTCATTCTGAGTTCACCTTTCAGGGTTTTATGCTAGGGTGTGATCAGGTGTGGGCATAAAATGTACTTTCCTGGAGCATTTGTTGAAAGGAAGGTTGATGCAACTTGCAGGTTCTTCATCCGAGTCGCACACATGGACACATACCTTTTCTCTGTCTGCAGATGTATGCTTATTTCAGGCCTAGGGAGAAGGAGGGATTTGACCAAAAACGTGTGAAATGGATCCAGTAGTGAGAGTGGAAACAGATCTGAAATGCCATTTTCAATGGCAGTTTGGTGCAGTGGTTAAGAGTGTGGAGCTGGGACTCCAGAGATCTTGATTCTAGCCCTCACTCAGCCATGGAGCCAACTGGGTGACTCTGGGCCAGCCACAGGCTCGTAGCCCTCACAGGGTTGTTGTTGTGGGCAGAAGATTGAGAGCAGCAGCAGGAGGAGAATAATGTCAACCGCACTGAGTTCTTTACAGAAAAGAAATAAATTTGTAAAGCAGCGCCTTCTCCAGTTTTGTTTCTGCATTATATTTTTCAGTGATTCACTGGAACATTTACTGAATTCCACTGAATCTGGAGGAACTGAATGCTGATTGGATGGGAACAGGAGGGCGCTATTCACCTCTGCTTTCCCTGACCCATCATGCCGCAAGCCCAGGATGGGGCACCGTGGCTCTATTATAGTAAACAGCTGGAATGGTGCACGGAGACTCTGTGTCCCATGGGCCTGCTTCAGTCACTTGTCCCACCTTGGGTGGACATATGACATGACCCCCTTCAATAAAACAAGCTGCTACAGGAATCATCTGACCTCTCTGTGAAGGCTCCTTTCCTTGTAAGCATAATGGTTACCTTGAGTGAGAGGTGAGCAGTAGTCGTTTCTTACGATGGCAGCAATTTTTAATTTCCTTGAAACAGGAATTGCTGAGGACAAATGGCCACTCCATTTCTCTTCCCACCAAAGCATTTCTACTCATCCCTCAGATTTAGCCAACACAAGATAGTTGATTGCACGGTAGTGAACTGAGTGGGCAATGGCCTTTGTCAAGTCTTTGTACAGGACTAATTTACTTTCAGGAAATTACAGCCTTTCCTGAAAGCAAACCAATCTTGTCTGTATTGTTCAGAGAAAAATCCTCTTGGGAGAAATTAAAGTAGCTGTTGATTAATCATAAGATAGAAATAGACCTGTAGATGCATTGTACTGCATCATCTTTTTCAAATGCATGGCACCTGTGAACGAATCCACGGAGTGGGTGGGCATAGTCACCAGTCATGGTTTTGATAGGACATTGATAAAAATAGGTCCCTGAGCTAAGGTGTATGTTCAGGACTAACTGTAAAGCAATAGTGTAAGTATTTCACTTAACTGACCAGTAATGCAGATGTTTGGAGCTGCTAGAAGATTCAGATACACGCTGAATTTTAAGTAGATAAAATCTAAGGGGAGGTTTGTGAGAGAGGTGTTCATAAAAGGCTTTTCTCCCTTGGATACTACTTCAGTCATTGAATGAGGTACCAGATAGATTCCTTGCAAGAGGAAAAAAAGGCAGGTAATAAATAAATAAATAAATAAATAAATAAATAAATACTTTTAATCCTCTGGCTTTTTTGCTGTTCTGTTCCTAGCCTTTTGAATAGGATACTGAATCTGTTTGTATTTCCCAGTACACATCTTTTGGTGGTATAGTTTTTATCTGACTATTAGTTTATAAGGCAAGAGTTCTTTCCGTTTTTGTTTAGCAATAGAGGTTCCTTTCTTCTTCATTTCCCATTTTTCCAATGCAAGCAAGTATTGGCATTTGTTTGATAATATCTGGCTGGCAATACAAATATGTCTAGTTCACAAGATGTGTGTGCCGTTTGAACCAAGCTCCTTTGCCCTTGAAAATGATTTTTTGCTTGTAAATTAAATATGAAGATTATGAGTGTCTGTGTCTCCTTTGCACATGTGTGCTCCTCATGTTTGTCCAAGGGCAGGACACAATCACAGAGTGATGCTTATGAACAAGCCACAAGAAAATCCGCTGCCACGCTTCCCTTCTCCTACCAGCATGGCTCCTGTCTTTCAGGGAGATGCACTATCAGTTACTAGGATTAGTCTGGGCCAAAACCAGAGGGCCAAAACCCAGCACCAACAAGTGCCACCTCTTCAGTAATGAATGAGTAGGCAGAGGAGATCCAGGGATCCTCAAGTTTGCCGAGATTTTCCAAACTGTGCTCCCCTACTCAACTGCAATAGGTTTTTCTTCTATCTGAATGTGTGTGTATTCCACTGGGGAAAGCCCATGTGTCTGTGCACTTTTTTTTCAAAAGTGAGTATTTCCCCTTCCCATTGATAAATGCATCAAAATGTGCAATATTGAAAATTTCTACTTTAATGGGTATGTTTTTCAAAATATGCATTTTTCAATGTGAGAGCAAGTTCTAGAACGTAAAACAGTGCTCCTTTTCACATTCAGGGTTACAAACAGGACAGGTCTGAAGGATATGTAAACTGAAAAAAAATTCCTATACTTCCCAAAGTGCTTCAATGCTGCTGAAGCTGCAGGCAGGGTTATCACTGCTACCATTTCTTTCCCTCTGCATTAAAATTCTGAAGTAGCAATGCAGGACATGGAGCAACACGCATGCATGCACACACATATGCAGGGAATGGTCTTTGCTACGCTAGGCTCTCGCAGGCAATGCTTGCTAGTGGCAAAGAGAATTCTAATTTACTAAAATGCGTTCTAATTTCCACTAATGATCATTTGACCTTTGCGTATTTTGTTGCCCTGCTTCACTACTTGGGATTTCTATTTTTGATCAAGTCTAGGCTTACTGTGGCCAGAAAAAGGGGTGGGGGCCTGATGGTGATGGACTCCAGAGGTGCATCCATTTTCTTCCCCAGACTTTTTGTGCCATTAAAAGGATGCAGGGTGGTGCAGGAAAAGGTTGAAGTTTCATTTGCTTTTATCTAGAAGAAAAATATTGAAGAACAGGACTGATTTCTAAGCTTTGCTTGCTTAGAAATTGTGCAGTAATTTACAATTTGGCTCTCCAAATGTTCTTTGACTAGGTACCACCATCCTCTGTCAAGAATAAGATGCTTTCTTCTTTAGATATAAATTCATACCACCTTGTCCTTCTATAGGCAGTGCTCAGAACTATTTAGGTCCTTTGCCTTCCATTTCTAAAGGTGGATTCAGATGGTTACAATAGCATGTGCTAGCTGCATTGAAGTCTTGTGTGCAGTTCCTTCAATTGCTGCTGCAAGGTTTTTAGACTTGTCCTAAACAATTCAGGACAAGGGTAGTTAAGGTAGCACCTGCTCAGTTGCTGTACTCATCAGGGGAGACCCACTTGAAGGTGCCCAAGATTTCAGAGGTTCATCCAATCGTGGCTAAGAGTGCCACAACACCCATACTTTGGAACTCTTTGCCACTACAAATTAGGAAGGTGCCAGTCCTTCTGGGGTTTTAGTGCTTTCCTTTTGCAACCAACACTTGCAGCTGATGTAAGCCATTAATAAATATTGTTAAATAAATGAGAATGCTGTTTTGGACTACATTAATGCTTGCGAGTCTCATGTGGTTCCCCTGTATTGGCTCCATTTTTAGTATTATGTTCAGTTCTGGGCACCACAGTTTAAGAAAGGTACAGATACGTTGAACAGAGTTCAGAAGAGGGCAACAAGGATGATCCCGGAACTGGAAACAAAGTCCTATGTGGATAGCTTGAAAGAACAGGGCATGTTTAGCCTGGAGAAGAGAACACTGAGGGGAGATAGGATAGCACTTGACGAGTACCTGAAAGTCTTTCAAGGAGAGGAGGGCCAGGATCTCTTTTCTGTCATACCAGAGTGAAGGACATGGAATAATAAGCTCAAGCTACAGAGAGCCAGATTGCAGCTAGAGTTCAGGAAGAATTCCCTGGCAGAGCAGTACAACAACGGAACCAGTTGTGAAAGGAGGCCAGTGGGCTCTTTGGCACTGAATGCATTCAGGACAGTCATTCATCATGGATGTTTTCGTGTGGGAGTCCTGCGCTGAGGGGGGTTGGACCTGATGGCCTTCTAGACCTTCCCAGCTTTCTTTGATTCTATAGAGTTCTAACGGATATGTCAGTGCACGACAGTAAATTGCACAGTTGGTATACATCACTCCAGGGCCACTACACTGTTACCAGAACCACTTACTGGCTGCTAGGAGGCCAAGTACATTTGAGCACCTGACTGGTCTTCTTTGCCTGGTGCACCGATATTCATAGTGACAACATTTTCCAGTCCCACTGCAATATATGCTACTCTTTGCAGGTTCTAGTTTCAATATGGAATAACATGCCTGGAGGTCACTGAGTACAGTTAGGTTCCCCTTATATTTGTTGGAGTCTTGTCTTCCACCCCACATATTCCATTGTTGCAAATTCTGTGTATATTCCGAAAGTATCTTTTAATATGGTACCAGGTTGGTCCCCTGGCTGATTACCAGGACAATGAGGAAAATCACTATGTCTTTGATTTTGTGTTTATATTGTTTGGTTTGTTTCCATGGGCTCAAATGAAATGACTGGATAATAAAATCACTGAATATTCATATGTATGGATAGCTTGATATAGGAATCAGAGGAGTGATTTATGAGAGCCATGTATATTACACATGTACAGCTTGTTTTCACATTTTTGCTTCTGTGATGCATTTGTGTTAGCCCCAGTTCATTATTCCTTACCCCCATCTTTTGTTTTTTGCAGTTTGTGCTGGGACGGAAAACAAGCTGAGCTCTCTGTCTGATCTTGAGCAACAATATCGTGCCCTGCGCAAGTACTATGAAAACTGTGAGGTGGTGATGGGCAACCTAGAAATCACCAGCATTGAGCATAACCGGGATCTCTCCTTTTTACGGGTAAGTGTCATTTCTGTTGCTTTGAAATACATGGGAGCAGACATTTGCTGCTATATTGACATTGGAGCGGTATAGAGGTGATAGCTTTGCAGAGATTTGCTGATGGTGTTAAAGAGCCACGTTGCCAGCAGCATAGCTCTTCGGTTTTGGTGTCTGCTCCAATTTATTTTGCAAGTTCCTGTCATGCGCCAGGTTGTACTCTGGAAAGAACACAATGACCTCCTGGGGTGGCTGAGCATCCATTTTGGTACAGCTGTTGCCAGCGGTTGTTGGAGAGAGCCTGCGATAAGCAACATGCACAACACCTTGCCCTGATGAACGGAATGTAGTTTTGAACGCTCTCACTTCTGGAAGTGGTTAATACTTATCTGTGTGCCCTGTGAGCATCCAGGCTTTCTGGGATTGGTTTTGAAATGGGGTGGGGAGCCTAATTCATTCCATCACTTCGCCCATTAATTATGGAACAGATGTGAATGGGACAAGAAGATGTGGCTGCAATCAGGAGACTGGCAGACCATGCATTCTCTTCAGAAGTGAATTCCAGCCCTTTCTTGGTGTTGTGCAATCAAGGAGAAAAGCCTCCTGTATTGGATTGAGGCTGTCAGCACGCTTTGGCACAAGCTTTTGCTTCTATACAAAAACTGTGTGTACAAGTCAAATAGGAAGAACATACTGAAATTAGTAAAAATGGCATGGTCAAAAGGGCTGATATTCTGAAGTTATTCCTTCATCTGTTCATCACACACATTCAAACCTACAGTCAAAAGTCATCCAGAAAAGCTGATACTTTAAAAAAGATCAGTGCATTTCAGTAATAATACTAGAGCTTGATGTGACATTAGGAGGACTACTGAGCATTGGTGAGTCCAAAACGGTTGTCTCTGAAAGCCTCATATAGAAATGTCTAGCAGGTGCGTAAGCTGAGGAACCGCAGCTGGAGGTCCCTGGGCCAAATCTTACCCCCAGGAGATGCCCACTGCCTTGGCTGAGGCCACCTAGAGTCTGTAGAAAATGGGCCATAGTAGCACAGGATCCGCTGGTGCAGCACTTCATGGAGCAGGCTTGAACCCTTGGCTCACCACCTCTTATTTGCATGGCACAGTGCTCCTCTAGGGAAGTGAGTGGCTGGGTGTGCAGTCCACACCTGTACATACAGGACAGCTCTCAGTCAGGCTCGCCATCAGCATTAAGTCTGCCGTCCTTGTTTTGATACACAGACTCCCCTGCTGTTCCTTTTGAAGCCCGTCTTCTAAATAAAGGGCTGAGCAAAGTGTTGGTGGGGGAGGATAACTTCAAGAAGCAAGAACAGCGGGTGGCAGATCCACAGAACCACACAGGATGCTTTTCTGGAGCATAGTGATGGTTACGAAGGATTCCAGGGATTTGTTTATTTTTACCTGAGACTGCCCCCCTCACAGATGTCTCAGCAAAAAATAGCAGCTCTAGTTAACGTGATAAATTACTACCATTAAAATGGAAAACAAAACAGAGAAAAGACGTTCTTGCAGGGAGGAAAACAAGAAATAAAAGGTGGCATGTTTATGCTAATAATTTGACATTCATTAGGTTGAGGATGCTACTTATTTCATCCTTAAAAAACACAGTTTAATGACCTAACAAAGGTGGCAGATGGGATATAAGCAAGAGCCAAGCTACTTGTCACTCTTAACTTGGAAAATTATAGACTGTTTTGCCGTCGTTTCTGAAGCTCATGTTCTTTGATAGCATCTGCCCAAACCAGTCACCATGAACGCATTTGAAAACAGAAATGCAGGGCACCTTGTGCGGCATACCAATGTGTCTGGCGCTCTACAGAGCAGCGGTGCAGGGAAGTCCTTGCTCCAGTGTGCTTGCAGTTTAGTAATGCCGCAGGGGACGCCACAGAGGAGCTGCGAAAAGCTGGAAGAAAGAAGTGTGTTCCAGGCAGAGTTTCTGTGTGGGTTGCAACCTGAAAATTTGTCTCACAGTTTAATGGGAAGAGCAGGTTTTGAGAGAGAAGTGGCGAAAGGGGTTTTAGAGGGACTCGTAGGCATAGCAGGGTGGCAACTCTTTACTGTGAGGCAAATGCATTTTGAATCAGACATGACTGCAGTGCTATAATTCTGTACTCCTTGGCAGTGCTTTACTGTTACCTGCATCAGCAGAGTCGGTGTGAACGCCAGCCATGTCCAGATGTTTGCAAGGAGTTCAAAGTGGCAGTTTCCTGGTGGGATAAGAGCCAGGACTTGGAGGTGCAGCTGAGTCCTGTAGTGCTTCAGGCTAGGCGGTTATCAGCCATGGGTATGACTGCCATTTATCAGCTTCACATGTTGAGTGGACTCTTCCCATCTCTGCTGCAGAAAGAGCCAGCCACACAGGTAATGCCTGTGATTGACTGCTGGAGTGTTTTTAGTAGACTTGGAAGCTTCAGCTAGTGCAAAGCACTCACAGAAACATAGAAAATGAGTGAGTCAGAAGGTGCCTCCCAGGCCATCTAGTCTGACCCCTGGCTGCAGCCAGCTCCACTCATGACATGCCTACCATGTGCATGTCTAAGAGGCTGGGAGTAAGTTGTAAACATAGCCTGCTATGTGGTCCAGCTCGAGGTACCAAAAGGATATGGTACCAAAATGCTGATCCCATTAGTTGCTAACATAAACCATGACAGAAACCCCATACTTCCGGACAGTAACTAATGTGGTAGGCCTTCTTTGGTCACATTCCAGGAGTGAGAAAATTAACATTTATATTTTTTCAATTCTGTCCTTGGAAAAAGTATCACTTAATTTACATTTTGTTGGGTATGTTTTAAATTGTGCATTGTTTTAATTATTATAGTTATGTCAATATCAGAGCATTTTATGTCCTTTTTCTCCCCAGCAATTTTAGAATAACGAGCTATTAGTCATAAATAAGACATAATAAGCAGGGCATGCTATTCATACTGGATGGACTGGAACAGCACGGGGCAGGGGTGAGCTTGGTCGTCGGCCAGGTGTGCATGAGGTAGGCAACCTAGCCAGTAGGTGGGTAGGCAGGCAATTGGCTAGGTGGCAGACGTGGTGGCAGTGGGGCAGGCCAGCATTAGGGAACACCTATCGGCAAGGAGGACAGAAAGCAGTGGGGCAGCCAATCAGCACCCTGTATGCTGGTGACTCAGCCACTGCCAGGTGAACAGAGCCACGGAAAATGTTGGCTGGAGTGGCTGCAGCTATGCTTGCTGCTGAACTTGCTGGCTGAAAGGGGGAAACTGCAGAAAAACAGTGTAACTGGCTTCATACATAACAAGAAGTAATGGTGAAATGTGGAAACCATAGAACAAATGGTTGGTTGCCTACGGTGATTCACAGTATCCAAACATGCCATTTGTCGCCAAGCTTCTGGTATTCCCACAATGACTAGCCATTCTTGCCATGGATTGTTATGTGAGAATGCGGCCAGTGGAATACAGAGGAACCAGAGTGACATATAGGGTGACACACAGGTTGTGCTGCTACAACCTTTCAAGGATGAGCAATATAAGAATTGTAGGAGCACTTTGTGCATTAATAATAGCTTATGACTATTTGATTAATAAACATTTATTTATTTATTTATTTATTTATTTTTCGATTTATATCCTGCCTTTTTCCTACAAAGGGCTCAAGGCAGCTTACACCATTCTCCTCCTCCATCTTATCCCCACAACAACAACCCTGTGAGGTAGGTTGGGCTGAGAGTCTGTGACTGGCGCAAAGTCACCCAGTTGGCTCCATGGCTGAGCAGGGATTAGAACCCAGTCACATGCTCTTAACCACTACACCACACTGGCTCTTATAGCTAGGTTTATATTGCTGTGTTTTAGTTTTTACAAAAACAAAGAAAGACTGCTTTCAGGTGCCTGAGAAAATATTTTTTCTGCTCAACATGTTGCATGAAAATGTTTCTCCTTCCTCAGGGGATGCATTGAAAATTCCACCCAAAACAAAGTTAACTTTCAATAATGTTCCTACTGGTGCAGTCAAGGGAGGCTGCCTATGGCCCTCCAAACTCAGGGGGTGGCAGGCATCCTCTGCAGAGTGGGAGGGTCCTGGAGGTAAAACATCCTTGCCACACCCTTTTCACCTTCCAGACCCATGTTATGGCCAGTGTTGCCCCTCTCACTGCAACACTTTGGAGGGGAAGGTAAGAAGGCTGAAGTGACACCAGCATCATCCATATCCTGGCGGTGCTATTCCTCCCACATCCCACTCATGGGACGTCCGCAGCAGCATTTCGCTTTGGTGACCTCTGAGAAGCAGCCGGCATGCTTCTTCCCAGTAGGGAGTCCCAGCTTCAACATTAGTGGTGGGACTCCAAAAGATCCTAGACACTATTTGCAGGCCACAAGAGCACTCTACTGAAACCAGGCATGCACACAAACTTGCACCACTGAATATGTGGACTGTAATGTTTATAAAATAGGCCTATTAAAAGCATTCATTATATTAAAGCTGTTATTTGATTTACACTCTAGCTTTTTGCATCCACCCACTGATGCATAGAAAACTCACAAGGTTCAGTAAGAAAGATTTGGTCATAAAATTATCTAAGTGAAAACCACCACAGCATTATAAAATATTATTTAAAATGTGCATTCTTAAAAACCTATTAACATATCTTTAAAAATATCATAAATACTGTACTACTTCCCCCCCAACACAGCATGGTTTCTTCATGATATGGTTTAATACAACAAAGGAAAAAATGTGCATATAATGGCAATGCTTTTGATATATAAGACTGAAATGAAGCAAGGTGATGAAATATAGATTAAAATGCCCGGGCCTAGCAGGAAGTCTAGTTCTTCTCTGCATCCAAAATCACTGGCTTGCTTCTGTAAAAGGCAAGTAAAAATGCAATAAAAAGAATTTTCTGAGGAGGATTTGGAAGCTGATGCTCTGGATTCTATTTAACAGCACAGAAGTTGACTTCCACTTATGTACGGGAATTCCCTTTCTTCTCCCACCTTCTGCAGCTGATTCTGTCCCCTCCAGACATAT